AAGACAATTCTTCTCTCTCAAATAAAGTTACATCATAGAAAGAATAAGAACAGGATTTCTCCCATAACTATAACTCTGTATTCTAGATCCTGCAACAAATTAGTTTAGGAAAATGTTATTAGTGTTATCTTTCAGAGAAGAAAATAACAAAGCAAAATAGTTCTACTTTAGAAAAGTAGGCCTTTGCCAGAAGAGTTTTCTTAGATTTGTGTATCTCTGTTAAATTAAAGAAACAAAACTTTAGAATTAAAAAAAATTAATTAGGCATACAGACACATACACATCGACATGCACATATGCAAATGCTAATGTCCATGGGATTCTCCAGGCCAGAATACTGGAGTGGGTAGCCTTTCCCTTCTCCAGGGGATCTTCTCAACCCAGGGATGGAACCCATGTCTCCTGAATTGCAGGTGGATAATTTATCAGCTGAGCCACAGGGAAACACACTTATACTGTATACATATTTAAATTTTAATTCTGAATCTTTTATGGGTAACTTGGTGAAGGATATAAGGAGCAGTATTTTTACATCCTTGAGTAGTTGATGATGCTACTTCCACTTATGATCTCCAAGGATAGGAGCTGGCACTTTCCTGCCTTCACTATTAGTTGTATTATAAAAGTTTAAAAACAGTAGCATCCTAGACCACTAGCTATGGGGGAGAAAAATTGGGAGGGAAACAAAGTGCTGTCTTTTTTCTTTCCCCACAGGGAAGCATATTACCTACATATATAGTAGTTATTCACTTTCATTTCACTTGGCACAATAATATTTCACTTCCAGTAAAAATCTCACACATATAAATATCTTATTATTCTTGCTTCATTTACTGAATTACTTTGATAGGAATATTAAATATTGCATTTCATGTTTCCCTGACGTTTTGAGTTAAAGGTATTAAAAATTAACTTTCTTTTGGTGATTCAGGGCAATTATTTTTACGCACATGAACTATTTTGTGCATGTATCTGCATTTTGATACATTCAAATTTTCTCGAGTCCTATATACCGATGCAGTTTGAGGATTTTTTTTCCTTTTGTTTTTTTTAAGCACTCTTCTGGAGGCCTGCTTTTTTGCCGTTAAACTGCTCTTCTTGCTATCTTGAGCCTTCTTTCTCATGTCTACCCTCCCCTCCTTTAAAATTCTGCCTTCAATCTGATCTCATCCACATTTGTTAGAAGTATTTCTTAAGGAAAATAATAACAGGGAACTAAGAGAAACCTAAGTGGATTGACAAATGGATACATTTTATTAAAGGATATTGTGACATTTATATTGGTGTCTTCAAGGTATTTGGGGCTTCCCTGATTGCTCAGTTGGTAAAGAATCTGGCTGCAATGCAGGAGACCCTGTTTGATTCCTGGGTCGGGAAGATCTGCTGGAGAAGGGATAGATTACCCACTCCAGTATTCTTGGGCTTCCTTTATGGCTCAGCTGGTAAAGAACCCAGTGGAGACCTGGGTTCGATCTTTGGGTTTGGGAAGATCCCTTGGAGAAGGGAAAGGCTACACATTCCAGGATTCTGGCCTGGAGAATTCCATGGACTATACACTCCATGGGGGTCACAGAGTTGGACATGACTGAACGACTTTCACTTTTCAAGGTATTTTTACTTACATTCAGTTTCTTGGTAAGTTGTAAATTACTGGATAAATATCTCCAAATAAGTGAAGAGTTAGTGCATTTATATTGCTTTTCTTATTCTACCGGACTCCATCAAAGCATAAGCCAATAATGGGCTTTGTTGACTTGACAGACCAGCAACTTTAGTCTCAACATCAGCACAAATATTTGCAAAGGGAGAACAATCTTTTTTGCTTCTGATCTCTGGACAACCCTTCTTTCTGGTAATGATTTTAGTATTATTTGGGGTTAAAAAAAGAATTTTACTCAGTTTATGTGTGGGCCTATTAAAAAACTGTAGTACTCAACCCAAAGTGAATCTCAACCCAAAATGTCCCACCTCTCTCCCTTTCATGGAATTTCGGTTTGGTTTGAATAACAAAAACCTCCACCTTCAGTCTTAATTCTGTTTGGACAAATTCTGAGCATCTACCTGGAGATGTTTAAATTCATGCTCTTTGCTAATCTTGTTACTTTGAGTTTTATCCTGGCAACTCTGATTCTCTTTTCTTAAGTTTTATCTAATTTTCTCAATTCAGAAACATGTCTTTTTTTAAAAATAATATATTCTTTATCTTTCTGTTCCATTGTTGTTTATTACAGGATATTAAATATAATTCCCTGTGCTATACAGCATGGCCTTGTTGTTTATCCATTTTATATAATAGTGTATGTCTGCCAATCCCAAACCCATAATTTATCCTCCCCTACCTCCATTCCCCTTTGCTAACCACAGATTTGTTTTCTATGTCTGTGAGTGTGTTTATGTCTCACAAATAAGTTCATTTGTGTCATACTTAAGATTCCACATATAAGCGATTCAAAAGATATTTATTCTCATGTGCTCCCAAAGATAATGACCCTGTGTAATTAAGCCTTTTAATTAACACATATATTGAGCACCCTCAGCATGTTGTGGAAGGTAGAGAGAGAAAATAAATTGAAGCAAAGTTTCATAAATTTTTGTCTGTGATGAAACAGGATTTGGTTTTTTTTTTTTTTTTCCATGAAAAATAAAATCAAATTATATATCACTCTAAGTACAGAATTTTTTCTCCATTTTTTTTTTTTCACTCAATGAAAATTTATTAAGTTTGATTCCTTTAGGTAATAAAGAATGCATGCACTGAAAGTAGGAATCTCTTTCGCCTGATTCCTCTTTAGGAGAAACTAAGTCAGTGAAGGAGAAACCCCCACTTCTGATATAACAGCTCTGATAGAGAAAGGTCAGTGGAAGTTTGGCCTCAATTACGGACATCAAGGAAGAACCAGGGATAAAACACTGATTTGTTGATGGCTCAGGAAATATACCTGAAAGCTAATCGTCCTTTTTTGCCGTTCCTTGAACAAGAAGGTTTTAAAATACAGACTAAGATCAGCCTTGGCACCATATTTCTGTTAACCACATCTGCTGACAAAGGATTAAAAGAGTTTCCTGGCTTAACTAAAGTCTTCCAACCAGACAACAATAGAAAGATAAGTAGGAGTCTGAATTGATTAAAACCACTGATTGAATTTCTTTTTGTATAAACAATCTCTTTCATAAGTCTGTTTCTAAATTCCCAGTTTTAGAGAATATTATGATGACTCATATAGATGGGTTGAGAAATCGAAAAGGATGACTTCATTTCATTAGAGCTAGATTAGAAGCCATGTTTCAATCAAATTTGAAGGTTCTATTCATATATGTCAGAGAAAGGGATGGGCAGCATTCCTTTAAGTATGTTAAAGAAAAACTAATTAGCTCTTCAAAGTTTGTGCTTTTTCTTTCAAAGTGAGGTAGTTGTTGGCTTAAGCCTGGGAGTAAAATAAAAAGGCTATAACTTATAGAGGAGTATTTGAATGTTGGGTGGAACCAAGGCTCTGGGCTATAGTTCTAGTCTTTGTCTTTGAGTGCTTGTTTGTTTTCATTTTTTGGATGACTTCATTTCATTAGAGCTAGATTAGAAGCCATGTTTCAATCAAATTTGAAGGTTCTATTCATATATGTCAGAGAAAGGGATGGGCAGCATTCCTTTAAGTATGTTAAAGAAAAACTAATTAGCTCTTCAAAGTTTGTGCTTTTTCTTTCAAAGTGAGGTAGTTGTTGGCTTAAGCCTGGGAGTAAAATAAAAAGGCTATAACTTATAGAGGAGTATTTGAATGTTGGGTGGAACCAAGGCTCTGGGCTATAGTTCTAGTCTTTGTCTTTGAGTGCTTGTTTGTTTTCATTTTTTGGTAGATTCTTATCCTTTTTTAATTTTTTTAAATTGGAGGATAATTGCTTTACAATGTTGTGCTGGCTTCTGCCATACAATAAATTGAATCAGTGATAGTTATTGTATATCCCACCCCTCTAGAGACTCCCTCCCACCCAAACCACTTTAGGTCATCACAGAGTGCCAGGATGAGCTCTACAATGCTGGCTATACTAACTGAGAAAGTAGCATTGACGTATATACACTACCATGTGTAAAATGGATAGCTTCCCACTAGCTATCAATTTCACAGATGAAAGTGAAAGTCGTTCAGTCTTGTCTGACTCTTTGCAACCCCATAAACTATACAGCGCTTAGAATTCTCCAGGCCAGAATGCTGGAGTGGGTAGCTGTTCCCGTCTTCAGGGTATCTTCCCAACCCAGGGATTGAACCCAGGTCTCCCACATTGCAGGCAGATGCTTCACCAGATGAGCCACCAGGAAAGCCCATTTTACATATGGTAGTATATACATATCAATGCTACTTTCTCAATTTTTCCCACCCTCTCCTTCCCCAGCTGTGTTCACAAGTCCATTTTTTCTGTCTGCATCTCTATTCCTGCCCTGCAAATAGGTTCATCAGTACCATGTCCTTGAGCTTTCAAGAGATCACTGGAAAGGATGAAGACATGGGACAGATGAAAGATGGACCCAATCAAGACAGGACCTGTCGTGCTGCTTTGGGAATCAGAAAATAACTCTAATGCAACTATTTTGTCTCACTTCTTTCTGCAAATAATACCTTGTAAGGAATGACTACTTTAAATCATTCTTCAGTTAGTGAATTTATCCTTGAAGGGTTAACAAAACGCCCAGAGCTTCAGTTGCCACTCTTCCTCCTGTTCCTTGAAATCTATGTAGTCACCGTGGTGGGGAACCTGGGCATGATCTTCTTAATCGCTATCAGTTCTCAACTTCACTCTCCAATGTACTGTTTTCTCAGCCATTTGTCATTCACTGATCTCTGCTACTCCTCTGTCATTACTCCAAAGATGCTGGTGAGTTTTGTGTTAGAGAAGAATGTTATTTCCTTCCAGGAATGCATGGCTCAGCTTTACTTCTTCCTTATTTTTGTAATAGCAGAAGGTTATCTTCTCACTGCCATGGCGTATGATCGTTATGTTGCAATCTGCAGCCCACTGCTTTACAATGTTATCATGTCCCATAGGGTCTGTTCCATAATGATGGGTGTAGTATATTCACTGGGCTTGTTTGGAGCCACAGTTCACACTACCCACATGTCAATGTTGTCCTTCTGTGGGTCTCATGTTATCAGTCATTATTTTTGTGATATTCTTCCCTTGTTGAGTCTCTCCTGCTCCAGCACCCATGTTAATGAGATACTGTTGTTTATTATTGGAGGAGTTAATACCTTGGCACCGACACTGGCTGTACTCATCTCTTATGCTTTCATCTTCTCTAGTATCCTCCATATTTACTCCATCAAGGGATGCTCCAAAGCCTTTGGCACTTGTAGCTCCCATCTCATGGCTGTGGTTATCTTTTTCGGGTCTATAACATTCATGTATTTCAAGCCTCCTTTGAGCAATACTATGGAGCAGGAGAAAGTGTCCTCCATATTCTACACCACTGTGATCCCCATGCTGAACCCCTTGATCTACAGTTTAAGGAACAAGGATGTGAAGAATGCACTGAGGAAGGTGCTTAGGGGAAAGTAGTCACCCCAACAAAGGAAATTTCAGCAGAGAGGAAGAAGTGAACCAGATGAAAAGTTGTCATGAACTCTGTGTTATTTCTTTTTCTCCTCTAGAGACAAAATTCACTGTTACTTACAAAATATATATTTGTACTTGAGAATGTTTGAGGCATTTTAGTCATTTTAAGCAAATGATAAGATTTTCTTATAGCCAATATAATATTTGGAAATCTTACTTGTATTCAAGGAACAGGATTTGGCAGAAGAGGGAGGATAAGTGAAAACAACAACAACAACAATAACAAAAAATATGTTAAAGATATTAATTTTGAAAGTGCTTGGTAAATAAGAAGTGGGTTCAGGGTTGTGTTTGAAAAAAGATGATGTTAACTGATTCAATATCTTGAAGGGCAGGAAGAGAGGTATTTTTAAACTTCCAAGGGAAGATTTCTTTTTTCTATCCCCAAGCCGTTATAGTGAAATATTGAGAATATTGATATCATGACAGAGCTGTGAGGATGCAGTACTTATAGAAAAGAACCACACATAGGTGTATTGTGGAGTGTGTGTGTGTGGGGTGGGGGGGAGAATAGCTTTAGGATGAAGAGGTAAGGGTAAGAGATATCAGAGTTAGCCTTGTCTTATCATATTCAGTTAAGATCAATTATAACTAATCTAAAGTCTCACATTGCCTTTCTTTGGAGGCTATCACTTAAGCCATAACTAGCCATTAGAAGTCTAATAGAGTGTGGTTCCAACTTGGGGAGTTTAACTTACTATTCTGTATTAGAATAATTAGTTTAATGAGGGCAATGCTACTTCTTTTCTCTTGGAATTGTATATAGCTCCTTCCTACCCATACTCTGTATGAATCATAGTGTTTGTTTGTTTGTTTGTTTGTTTTAATCACCTTGTGACTTTGACTGTATCAACAATTTCCCTCTGGTGCAGGAACCCAGCCCTCTTGGAGATCAGAAACACAACCTCCTTGGTGGTTACTTGCCCTGAGACATCATTTTGGGCATCAGTGCATAACTTCCATCTTACTCTACTCTTAAGTATGGGGGTCTTAGAGGTATATGCATGAAGTGTCTGGGGGTCTAGCTAAATGATTTTTTGTCTTTGTTCAATGACTTGAATAAGAATATTGGAAAACTTTTAATTAGGTTTGCCATTAACCTTTATTAAGTATGAAGTTGTCATAACAACTTATTTAGTGGATGAAACAAAGGTGATTCTCAAAGACTTCCAGAGGCTGGAATGATGAGCACAATTAATGAGTTAAAATGTGCATGGATAATATAAAATTTATACTTTTACCAAGTTGATGAGTGGAAAAGACTGGTTAACTGTAGAGAATTTAGAACTTTTGATGACAACAGAGTCAATAAAATGAGTACAGCTTCTTTAAAGTTAATGTTACCTTGGCTGCAATAGCTGTATTTTAGCAGAGTAAGAAAACTTAAAAAAAGTCATTTGTACTATAATGCTTAGAATACTTCCATTTGAATGTAATTCATTCAGTGGATATCACTTTTCAAAGACCTTGGCTCCTTTTGCATTCTGAGGTCTATGGGCATGATGAATAAGGGACTTGAAATCATACATCCATTCCTATATTAATTCTCTTGGTTATTCATATAGCAAATATTGCAGTATATGCTTAGCATTATTCCTCATACTGGTGATAAAGAGATGAATAAAAGCACAAAAGTCCTTACCTTCGTTGGATTTAGGTTCTGGTATTAAAGAAAGAAAATAAACAAGGAGACATATATGTAATGTAATAGGTCACAAAACGCTTTTTAAAAAAATAAATCAGGTAAGGCAAGAGTATATGGGTAGGGGGATGCTTAGATTCAAAAAAGAAAAAAATAAAGGGCAGAAGTTTGGTTGTGAAACTTGTGGTAGTTTTTGCCACAAGGCATAACTAGGCTATGAGGAAGAAAGTTGCAGAGAGTCACATTTTTTTAAACAATTTAAGAAAGCCTTTTTCTCAAATTTCTCATTTCCATACCATCACCATTTGTAAGTGTGCCTCCAGCCTCCGTATGCTCATTTCCTGGCCTGAAAACAGCTTACATCTAAGAAGGTGAAATTTGGGGTGTGGGGGCATCTTTCTCTCAAGGAAATACAGCAAATCTTTGTTTTGGGCCTTCTATTAGTTCCTTGTGGCTACTGTAATGAATTATATGTGAAAAAGAAAGTGAAAATGTTAGTTGCTCAGTCATGTCCTACTGTTTAGCCAACCCATGAACAGTAGCCCACCAGGCTCTTCTGTCCATGAGATTTCCCAGGCAAGAGTACCAGAGTGGGTTGGTATTTCCTTCTCCAGGGGATCTTCCCTACCCAGGGATCCAACCCAGGTCTCCGTCTGAACCACCAGGGAAGCCCAATAGATTACCGTAATGGAACTTTATTCTCTCACAGTTCTGTAGGTCAGACATCCAAAAATCACACTGAGTGGACAAGAACCTAGTTCCCCCAAGAGGCTCTAGGGAAAATCTGATCCTTGTCTCTTCTGGCTTCTGGTGGAATTCCTTGGCTTGTGACTGCATCACCACAATCTCTGATTGGTTACATCACTGCCTCCTGTTTGGTGGGAAATCGCCCTTTGCTTCCCTCTTATAAGCATGTACTTGATTGTATTTAGGGCCCTCTGGATAATCCATTGCACTCTCCCCATCTCAAGATCTTAAGTTAGTCACATCTGTACAGTCCGTTCTGGCCCTAAAATGTAGCACCCATAGGTTCCAGGGTTTAGGAAGTAGACCTCTTTGGGGAGATATTTTTTCAGCTTATCATGGGCCCATGGGAAAACAAGGACCTGTGAGATTAATTTAGAATTGTGTGTATCTTCTAGGCTTCTCAGATAGCTTGTCTTAGACAACAGAATGAAAAAAAAAAAAAAAAAAAGACTGAAAGTGCAAGACATAAAGCCATAAAATATTACTGTAACTCTTTCAGGACATGTATCTAGATACCTGGAAAAAGGATATTTATTGAGTCCAAGTTATTATCAAGGCCTGTGGATATAAAAAAGCAATGTCTTTGTTTTATGTTTTACACCCTGGAGGCTCACTAGAGGCATTCATAGCTTTTTCATATCTGTCATTTAAAACAAACTCCAGTACTTTAGTCAGCCCTAATGATCTCACTTATCTTTTCTGAGGGTTTGGCTCCTTGGATTGATTTGAAGTAGAATGTCTTTCACATTATCTAATCATCTGTATTTCATGCAGACAGGTTCTAAGCTGGCAGAAACAGATCCTATACAATATGGTTAGTCAACAAATCTACCTCCACCACTGCCTACATACAGAATAATTTTTCCCATTTATATGGGTGAGAAAGAAGAACAGATATGAGTGGCAGGAGAAAGTGAGTCTCAGAGAATTCTAGGCACTTCCTCAGGTCAATTATTTTGACCAAATGGACAGTATATATGCGAAATGCTTATAAGCATTTTAAGCTTATAAGTTATAAGCATCTGTGAACAGTGGTACTAATTGTAAAACTAGGAAGAGCAGTTGTAGTCAGTGATATTATTATTATTATTGGAACAGGTTTGGAACAAGACAATGAAAACACACTATTGAACAAATCCAACTCTGAATCAACTGTATTGATACATCATTTATATGTAAACTTTGCTAGAGATCCTTGGATGCTTGACAAATGGACTTCATTAGAGAAGGGAGTTCAGTGGTAAAACCCTGGTATTTCTGGCAAGCCTAGAACCAAAAAGCTGAGGTGGCCCTTAAACTGCCATTGTCTTTGATTGTGGTGAGATGGTTGGATGGCATCATCAACTCAATGGATATGAGTTTGAGCTAACTTCAGGAGATAGTGAAGGACAGGGAAACCTGGCATTCTGCAGTCCATGTGATTTCAAAGGGTCTGACATGACTGAGTGACTGAAGAGCAGCAACCAAGTCGCTAAGAACACATGCCACAATTATCCTAGAATAAGAAGAGTGCTGGAAAGGCTTAATAAACAAAAAGGGATTTAGGTTGCTCAAGCCATTTAGTGATATTAACTCCTGTCACAGGAAACAGTATCTGAGCAGACACAGAACCATCATTGCATTCTGGTAATTAAAGATGAGTTTGGGGGGAAGATTCATGGAAAATATGTCTTGGGCTCCCAGGAGATTTCTGACCTGTATAAGGCTCTGAGTCCTTAGATAGGAAGGGCAGGCAAGACTTTTGTCTATATTACCAAACTCTGTGGTTCACAGCATTTGACCTCTAGAGGGCTGCCACATTTTTAGTTTGGCAGAAGTGCTGTGCTTAGTCTCTCAGTCATGTCCCACTCTTTGCAACCCCTGGACTTTAGTCTGCCAGGCTCCTCTGTCCATGGGATTTTTCAGGCAAGAAAACTGGAGTGGGTTGCTATTTCCTCCTCCAGGGGATCTTCCCTACCCAGAGATCGAACCTGAATCTCCTGTGTCTCCTGCATTGCAGATGGATTCTTTACCCTCTGAACCATATTCATTAAAACAGAATAAGCAAACAAATAAGCAAATAACCAAGAAATATAACTATAATTTACTGTCAGCATCATATCATATAATTAAACAGTATTTGGAATCCCAACCACAATAAAAATAAAATGGATATGATAACCCCCCCTTCCCCCCCAAAAGAGGAATATTTGTACGCCCATGCTCATAGCAGCATTATTCACAACAGTTGAAAATTGGATGCAACCCAGGTTCTATTATCAAATGAGTAAACAAAATGTGATATATACATACAATGAAAAATTGTTTGGCCTTAAGAAAGAAATTATAACTCTCGCTATAACATGGGTGAACCTTGAGGAGACTATGCTTAGTAAAATAAGCTGGACACAAAGGAGAAAAACATTATGATTTTGCTTATATGTAGTATCTAGTGTAGTCAAATTTATAGAGACTGAAAGAAGTGTGGTTACCAGGACCTGGGGAGAGAGAGAATGGGAAGTTATTGTTTAATGAGTATAGTTTCAATTTCTGGGGATGATGGTGATGATGATTG